TCCGTACATTAGGATCATACGCTGTTACAACTGCCAGGAGTTCGGTCACTATAGCAGGAACTGTAAAAACGCTCCAGTTTGCGCGAAGTGTGGTAACAGCCATCCGACGCAGGAGTGTAGCTCGGAAAAAGTGAGTTGCACTAATTGCTGCAGTAGTAATTCTGAAAAGGGGACCTCTTTCAGCACAGATCACCCAGCTACTTCAAGTTCCTGCCCAGTGTATGGAGCCCATTTCGAGAGTCTGAGAAGGACCACTGCAAAGAACTAAACCAAGATGACACTAAACAAACATATAGCAGGTCTTCGATTTTTACAGTGTAACTTGCAGAAGTGCTATGCAGCAACCATAAATACGCTGCAAGTAATGACACATACTGCTGCCAATGTCGGAATCTTCCAAGAGCCATACGTTTACAACGGAGTGATTCCTAGTGTTCCAACACACAGCAGAACGTTTCTCTCAAAGAATCAGCTAGCTGCGATTATTTACAGTGGCTCTCTCTCCCCTCTCTTAATGAAATCACAGAGCATACAGTCTCCATCAGACTAGACACTAGTAATTGCAGCATTGATATTGTTGCTGTGTATCTACCCCCGAGCGAAGATATTACCTATTAGAGGAACTTAATTCTAACCTTCTAACTGGGGCATCACACTATATCATAGCAGGAGACTTTAATGTCACCACTTAACTATGGGGTGCTGACTTGGAGAACCGAAGGAGGATTGCGGACTAGAATTCTTAGACAGTAAGCATTTCATTGTCATCAACGCTCATGACTCACCGCCTACCTTTGAAACATCTAGAGCTCGAGGGTGGCCAGATCTGACAATATCAACTCCCAATACAACTCCGTACATACAAGATTGGACAGTGAGTGACCTGCCGTCACTCAGTGATCACAAAATTATTACTTACAGACTGGATACTCCTATAGACTACATAATAAAAAAAAAGATTCAAAACGGCATTTGGAGGACATTCCGTTTTACGGGAACACATTCGAGCCCATGTAGAGAAATTTATCAAAGATTTCAACAACTGCCAGGACAGAAACTCCTTAGATAATCTCTACGACTTACTAGTTACAAAAATAGTGCAAGCCGCCCACAAAGCATATCGTTTGAAATCTGTTAAGGCAAAACACTCGATATCCTGGTGGTCACCAGAGCTTAACACAGAGAGGAGCAGAGTTCGGGCACTTCGCAAAAAAGCCCAATCCACGGTAGATCCATATCTACGATAACTCAAAATGGTAACATACAACAAAGCCAGAGCTTTATATAAAAGAAAAATTAAAGATGCCAAGTTAATCTCATGGAGAACTTACTGTAGTAATGTCACCAAAGCCTTTGGACCTGCTCAAAAGATAACATATAACAAGGTGTTTCGTCTTACGACCCTTATGCCTATGGTGAATAGCACTGCCTCATCCAACATCAAAGTGATCAGTGCGATCATAAATGCAGTTTTTCCTTATGATGATGAAGAGGATTTGTTAGGGGAGCAAGAGGAAGTGAGAAAAACCTACAGTAGGAAATTTCGCCAAGCTACCAGAAGAGACGAACCCACTCCTATGCAAATGGAAGTGGATAACATCATACGTACTCTGGCACACAAAAAAGCCCCAGTTCTGGATGGAATTGATAATATCATCATTAGAGAGCTACACTGGGAATTCCCAAAACTATTCTTCGGGGTCATTTCAGCTTGCTGGAAACATCAGTACTTTCCTAAAAATATGAAGTTGGCAGAAGTGGCGTTATTCCTAAAATCAGGCAAAACTGCGGCAGAACTTACAGCTTACAGGCCAGTCTGTCTACTGCCAGCGCTCGGTAAGGTATTGGAAAGAGTAATTCTTTACAGATTGGACTTTTTCCTGCAAAGAACAACGACCTGCATCCCAACCAATATGGATTCCGAATAGGCAACTCAACTGAACATGCCATAAAAGACTTAATGGCCACTATCAAACAGAACAAGGATAACAATTTGCACTCACTGGTAATAGCCATTGACATCAAGGGAGCCTTTGACTCCCTTTGGTGGCCAGACGTAATAAATTTGCTGCACAACATGGCCTGCCCAACAGCCATTATTACCATCCTTCGCTCGTACCTTCAAGATTGAAGTGTACAAGTAACATCAGACAGCGGCATTTATGTCAAAAATGTCTTTAGAGGATGCCCACAGGGGTCATGCCTTGGACCAACACTGTGGAATATAGTGGCAAACTCGGCAATTTCGTCAGTTTGAGAGCGTAGAATACGCTCGAATCATAGCCTATGCGGACGATTTTATGCTAGTTGTGGCAGGAAGGAGTAACCTCGAAATGAGATCTCAATACTGTCTTGATCTGTTCTCCCAATGGGCCAGAGCACATAAGCTTCAGATTTCGGCAGAGAAAACTAAAGCTTTGCTCATAGGACGCAGCAGGCAGCTAAGACGCAACCCAAGCATTAAACTCCATGGGATACCGGTAAAATGTTTCCCCCAATTGAAATATCTTGGGCTATTACTTGACAACAGACTTTCTTGGATGCCACATGTCAGGAATCTTAAGACTCGAATTAGCATCCTAAGCAACAAGAGACACATGACTTCACATAAATGGGGTATCTCATCTAAGCTACTAAAAATTTGGCATAGAACCATAACAGAAAGAGTAATAACTTATGGAAGCAATCTGGGTGGCGAACTTACCTCTCATATGAAAAGATCCCTGCTCTCTATTCAGAGACAGCAGCTACTTCAAGTATGCAGGGCCTACCGTACCACGTCAACACTAGCCCTACAACAACTAGCAGGAATTCCTCCCCTAGATTTGATAGTAAGAAAGGGAGGCAGCTATCGTAAGGGTTACCAGGCTGGGTCAACTTCAACACTCTGGGGTCATAGTTATCACCACTCGGACTATGAGGAGCAAAACAACTGCAATAACTTTCATCCAGCAGCTTTTAATCTCTCTGACGGTATCAGTATAAACGACCAACCAATTCAGAGGTACAGTAATAACCTTTTCACAGATGGCTCCAAAATTGAGAACGGCACGGGCAGCGCCTTCTGTAGACTAGAAAATGGAGTTGTAACATTCGAGTGGAAAAGGAAATTAGGCTCGAACAACTTGGTATACCAAGCAGAGCTTCTAGCTATCAGTGCTGCAATTAGATATGCGAACACATGTCAACAGGAGAAATTCTCCATACTCAGTGATTCAGCATCAAGTCTGGCGGCTATCGCAAGTCAAAACAGCCGGAGTTCATTGGTATACAGAATTCAGAAACAGCTCCTGACAATGCCTATTTCACAAAGACCCACTTTAAAATGGGTTCCCGCTCACACAGGGATTCAAGGCAATGAAGCCGCTGACCTACTGGCCAAGCAGGCAGCCAACTGCACGGATATATTAGAAAGACCAACTAAACTTCCTTGGTCTCATATTAAGAGAACAACTTTGACAAGTCTGCTACAAAATTGGCAAAGTAGATGGACAGAGGCAGAGGTAGGACGAAGGACATTTCGCTTAACTGCCAAAAGTTAACATGGAAATAAAGAGCCCACTGTGCTAGCCTAACACAGTTCTTGACAGGTCATGGACCATTCCCAGTGTACCTGAACAGATTCAGACTTAGGGATACTCCTCTTCTGCGAATGCGGAGAGGAAGGCGACACGGATCATTATTACTTCCATTGTTTACATACAAGAACCCTGGCACTTGAAGAAACCAGCGGAATGTGCCTGAGCTATGTGGATGACTAACACACTCAAAAACAGAATAGCCCTAGATAAAATAGAGAAAACCTCAAGTCACTGCCTAAGCAGAAACAACCGTGGATAATATTATAATGTTTCAAAAGTTCAGAACTTAAAGCAGATAACCAGAATAACGCTTAGTGCCGTGCAGTTAACAATATGTAAAAACTGTTATTAGTATATAATATTCAACCTTGTTACTCTGGAGTCTTCCCCGCCGTGATGGTATATAATTCCGTTTGGTTCATGTCCATGGTCGGAAGCCATCATAGCGGTGCACTCACTCACTTAAATTTCCGATTTGTATAAAATTTCTCAAGCTTGAAAATATTCTTATCCAGATAGTCCCATCAAATTATTATTGAACAAATTCCACTCCTTAAATATTAATCAAAGCTTTCAATTCCTGTGAGCAGATAATTTAAGGCAATTAAGCTAGTAATGCATATCACAAAACAACCTGAGCAATGCAAAATGAGAAAAATTCCCCATCTGCTCTGTCCCCAAGAGAATACAAATAAAAAAGAAACTACACTCAATTTAACAACCTGCCAATTCTAGTTAAAACAGATTTTCAAGACTCAATAAATCTGCTTTTGTGAAAGAGGCTATAGTCATTTCCACTTTTCTGCTGCATATGAAGCTTCTTAACATGCTATATATTACTTCCTACAGAATAACTTTAAAAATGCCAGTCTTTGATATGCAACCTGTTGCAGCAAAAATAGGAAGTTACTTCATTTGTCATGTAATCTTAACACAATTTTATACCACTGTTCTAAAATTTTGTAACAATTAAAAAATTTCTAAATTATTTTTAATGCATAACAAATTCACATACTTCCAATACTCAATTAATAAAATATCTTTGAACTTGTACAATTCAGCAACCATACAGAATTTATTTGAATACACCATTCTTTTAACAGGAATCTTAATAAATAACATTTCAGACTTAAGCACTAGTACTTTATCACGTCTTCATAGTTACAAAAACATATAATTATTTAAAATAACAGATGTTTAGCACAGTGGTAAGATTACCTTTAAAAAAGCAGCTACTGAATCCACTTTATAATACCCCCACCAAATAATTAAAGCATTTTAGCATGCTATAAAGAAATATTTGCTCATTTAATTAAAGGGATAAAATTTAAAACATAAATGAGGCTACCTTAAAAGCATTCTAAAACAGGCATAATTAATATGACCACACCATTACATTAGAACAATTAAAACACACACCATTACAAGTTGTTTCATCTGAGCCATCAATGCAATCATATTTTCTATCACATCTTAAACTTGTATCAATACACTGGCCATTAGTACAACGAAACTGATTTTCACTACACGCTTCACTAACTGTGAAATAAAAATATAAATTTAATCTAAAAAAATAAATGAAATTAAAATAAAAAACTAAAAAATTAAAATATATAAAAAATACCAAACAGAAACAAAATAAGCTAATAAAATAAAATTAAAAAGTCAAATCAAAATGAAATAAAAATACTTTATCATACCACAATTCAATTCATCAGAACCATCTCGACAATCATAATTTCTATTGCATTTTAAACTACTGTCTATACACTGGCCATCAGAACAAGGAAACTGGTTTGGTTGACAAGATGGACTAACTAAACAAATTACAAACATGAAAATATTTTTTTAATATATATTAAAACATTTTTGCTTTAGCTGCACTATAAATGAATATCTAAAAATATATTATAAATTTGAATAAAATATTTAAGTACAAATACTTTATTCTAAATGAATTTTTAAGCAGCAAGCATGCTGTAACTAAAACATTAATCATAAAAATGCTTACAACAAAATGTTTCATTTTAGAAAATTTCAATGATTTGTTTTACTATCAAATACAAATAAATTTATTTCTTTCATGTTTTTTAAAGTTTTAGAAACAGCTAAATCTGAACATCATTTGAAATTTTTAAAACTGCTTCTGTACATCATTGGCAACCAGAAGTTTTATGAAGGATGTTTAACTAAAGGAATTTCCAGAAATCTGAGATTTAAAAGTGCTAATCTATGATTTTTTTACATTAATAAATAAAGATGATGAAAAAGGCGTTAATAACAATACTACAGTTAATATTTTAAGATTTATAAATTTGATAAATTAAATAAGTTTCAGAGACATTTTAAACTGTGAAATTCAGGATGGTTAAAAGTGTTTTCAATGTTTGTTGCTGAAGTTGTGTTACAAAACATGACGTAATTAATGCATCTATTTCTTATGCACAGCTTCTAAGATACTCTCAGAATTTCTTTTTAATGAAAGCAGATTATCTATTAGCTTCAGTGGATCTCCTGAAAGAAGACTTGACACAAAACTCACGAGTTTAATACCTTTATATAGTGCACCTACAGATTTTCAATTTTCCAATATCAAAATCAATGATACCAATCTTAGCAACAAATCATGCTCTGAAGGATCATTAAATTAATGATATGGCACCAAGAGTCTATGTTTTATGAAGCTTTACTGCCATTATGAATTAATTTACAACTAGTAGAATTCAGAACATATACTATTAAACTATCTAGAGAATTTATGGATGCACAAACATAATTTTTAAATTTATATTTTAAAATCTTTTAATGCACAAACACATAAGACTCAGTTCATTTAAACATATAAGTACTATCGATATAGTCTGGAAGTAACATAGGGGCGCATATTTTGATGCATTTCTTGTTACTGAGAAAATAATGCATCAAAGCACTAGAAAAGGTCAAAAAGTGTTCCCTCCCAAAGGGGCAATTTACCCTGAATATTATTTTCATTTTGGCATTTTGTGTTGGTTCACTATAAACGTCCGATTCACTTTTCAAATTGCTACCACCAAATATTAACGCCCTGCATTATATCTAAAGAAATTAAATAATGAAGAATCTGCATACATGCATGTATGTTTTTCGCATTGTGATAAAACAGTACCTAGAGCCATCCAATTTTGAATAACGCACATTTCCACCTTAATATGGGCATCTGGAAGCCCAAATTTGGAATTTGTTTTAATATTTATTTCATATTTTGTAAAACTTTAACAAATTTTTTATTAACAAACTCAACTATTTAAAAGCGAGGAATGGCAACATTCTACAGGGGAAAAATATATTCTCCAGCGTGCAGATGCACTCATGATTTTACTGCTTGCAATGCTGAAAAACGTAAACACGTTGCATTGACGGTAATGCAAAAAGTGCAAATTCTGCAAAAGATGGAGACAGGTGCTACTCCTCGGTTTATAGCAGAATCGTATGGAATTGCGATATGATTGTGTATGATATAGGAAAAATAAAGAAGCCATTGAAATTTTTACCAACAGTGATTCTAACACCGTAATCTGAAACCAGAATCTTACATGAGGCGAAATCAGCAAACCTGATGCTATTTATGTAATACAATGAATAATAAAATCAGTTTATGTATGTAATAGTAAGTTATTGCAATAATTTATATAATAATTTAATTAAATGTATCTAATACGCCTTATTTATTTTGCACTTTTAGTCTGAATATTATGATTTTTTTTTTTCTGTTCTGAAATCCGCAAAATCCTAAAATCCGCACAACCTCTGGCCCCAAGCTTTGTGGATTTCTGGAATTCTACTGTATTACAATTTCCTTCAGAAAAAAAAAATTAGTTACAAATAGCATCACCAGAGTGCATTATATTAATAAATTATACATTTAGCCACATCTTTAAAATAGTTTTACAATTTTACAAATTTTGTTACAAAAAAAACATGTTGCACATGATGGCCATCATTTTCAGCCACCATCTGAAATCACAAGATGGCATGCACCAAAGTATGTGCTGGGTTCAGCACATGGTATGAAATGCTGGCTTTAAGATCGGGTAAAATTCTTAGATTGTTACGACTTACCAGATGTTTCAAATGTCCCCAAGGACAAAAATCACATGGATTAAAGTCGGGAGATCAAGGAGGCCACACATTATGAAAGTGCCAGCTAATGCATGTTCTTCTGTAAAATGACATTTAAGAGCATTTGTAACACGCTGTGCAATATGTGGAGGAACTTCATATTGGATAAAGCTTGTGTGCGCAGGGCACTGATGTGCTTGCAGAGATGGAAAAATTTTGTTCTCCAGCAGCAATCGAGCATGTTACTGTACCTGTGAAATTTAACTCTTCGAAAAAGTATGGGCCAAGAATAAATGATGTAGAAAATCTACACTATACCATCACTTTTGGTGAATGCAATGGAACCTCTAATTTTCTTATTCCCAAATTTGGCAGTTGTGAGTATTCATTGCACCGTCCAAATGAAAATGTACTTTGTCTGTCCAGAGGATATTCCAAGACCATTCTGAATCAACTTTAAAGTGAGCAAGAAACTGAAGTGAGAACTGGAGTCATGCATCAAAATAATGTGGAAGCAAAAGCTGCATTAGTAAAAGTTTGTAAGGTTAATACTGAAGGATATTCCACATAATCAAATGAACAGTTGAACATGATTTATCCAGTTCCTCTGCTATATGCCAGACACTGGTACTGGCTTAAAAGTTTGAAGCTGTGTCCTCTATGACCTGAAGCGCTAACAGGTTTTCCTCCTCTTTCAGGACGAACAGAAAACGATCCTGTTTCTTCAAATTTCATTATCATTTTCCAAAGATTTTTAACATTCATTGGGCCTTTTAGAATCCCCTTCAAGGTCTGAAATTTAAGTACAGCAGCTACTGCGAAATTATTGTTTTGGTAAAACAATTTTACTAACAAAGTGCGATCTCACACACTTATTGTGATTGTGAGCAACAAGCACATTGAAAACAGATCTCTGCAATCATTTCTAGGTTTTATAACAGCTGCTGCATGATGTTGACAAAAATTTACATTTTTACTATAGGTTTTTTAAAGTAAAATGCCCTCTGGTGACTATCTGTAACTATTTTTTCCCCTCTGCAAAAATTGTCATCCCTTCATTAAGTCCGTCACAAAATTTCAGAATTTTCTGATCACTGGTTTTGCTTTTAGGCAGCTTTATAGTAGGGTTCTTTCATTATAGACATGCTGTATAACAGTAAATTATAAAAATGTCTTACTCAAAAGAAACAGAAGTTTTGTGTGCATGAAATAATCAGAATAAATATGTTTAATGTTCATATTGCTGCATTTTGCTCTGTGAAATACCTATGCTCTACGAATAGAAATTTTTTTTTTATATATATATAACTAGTTGGGTATTGTTTTACTTTTCCTAAGAAGAACTAAATGAAAAAGTTGATAAAAACAATTAAAATCAAAGAACCAGCTAAAAGTAAAACAAAAGGCAAAAAATTAAAGAATTAAAACAGCCAAAGCTTCAGTTCATTAGCTAAATATATGATAAATTTAAAGCAATTTAAAAAACTATATAAACAATACAAAAAAGCGCTAAAATGATATATTGAATTAAGATAAATAAAATAGCATATGAAAAAAAAAAAGAAACTAATTTCCCAGCATTAACCTACCACAATCCTGTTCATCACTGCCATCTCTGCAGTCATACTGCCTATTACACCGCAGATTACTTTCAATGCACTGGCCATCCTGACATCTGAATTCATCTGATTGACAAGCTTTTGGTTCTGGGGAGGCAAAGCACATACTGTCACATAAGCATTAAACTTAGGATGGTTACTGATGCATTAGTTAGGTTAACAAAAGTTTGAAGAGCCATAACAGAAACAAACAGCATGGCATTACAGCAAATAAACATAACAAAAGTAAGAAATTAAAAGCTGTAAAATAAAAAAGTTTGAGAATGTGTCAGTTATCTACTTTTATGGTTTTTAACCCATTCATGATCAGCTACACACATCACATGTTTGGCTCTTTCGTACCCACATGGTCTGCATTGCATATCATGCAATGGAGAGTAAAAATGCTTAATTGAAAGTGATTTCATTGTTATTTACACATCTTCTTTTATTCAGGGATTATTTTTTGTATTTCAGAATATTTCTAATAGCTAGTCTCCCTTTCTTCACAGTTTTTCAGGGAGATTTCCACCTCGAATGGAAAACACAATCATTTTGTATGTTTGATAATTTCACTTTCCTTAGTTATTGCTACATGTCAAAATAACTTTATGGTGGATTCAGAGTGTAAGTTTTAAAGGCAATGAATAAAATAGCCACGATAATTTTTTTAACAAAATAAGTAATAAAATAATCGACAATAAATTATTTCAATAAGATTTTTACGCTTTGATGGTCAAGACAGATTTTTTTCGGCGAGCACTAGGCATTTTTAGCTTTCGCCATTAAAAAGGCTGGAAGCGGTAGTCATTATATTATGGAGGCAGCCAATTAGGTGGCCATTGTTACCTCCTATGAAGGGGTAGACAATTTACATCTATGCCTTCTCCAGGATTCACACCTGGGTCCTTTGGTATCACAATATGCTCCTCTAATTACTATATCAACTTGGTGGCTTAGTCAAAAAAGACTGTCAAGCTATTATCATGGTAACATTGTAAAACTACTTTCCAAAACACTTTTTTAAGTATTTTTAACTGTTCTTTTTATTTAGTCACTAATCTTAAACACCCCCAAAACAACAGATTTGATATATGCAGAAGCAAAGAATACTTTTTAAATTAAAATTTGGGTGCATTGCTGCAAAAACTGGAGATCAGTGAATAGGATATTACATGTATAACCTGCAGCAAAAAACTGCTTGCTGATAAAATTATCTGCCTCTTTGAATTTAGGATAAAACATGTATTAACTTTCAGCAATTAAAAAAAAAACCTGACCAAGGAGATGTTAATTCAGAAGTCAAACAACAAAAATCAGCGTTATACCTACAAAATTTTCACAGGACTAGTTTCGATGGTTTTACCGAACCATCATCTTCAGCTGCAAAACCGCAAATGGCATTTGCGGCTCAAGATGATGGTTCGGTAAAACCATCGAAACTAGTCCTGTGAAAATTTTGTAGGTATAACGCTGATTTTTGTTGTTTGACTTCTGAATTAGTATTTATTCGGCGTGTTATTGTGTCTTAATCAAGGAGATGTTAACAAGTATCATTAAATAAGGCTATTAAAAAAATAATTTGTCCGAAATCTTAAAACAACAAGTATTGATTTAAATTTTAAAAACAAATCTATATTTTAAGTGACAAAGCACAAAAGGTGAATTTGGTCTATGTTTCAGATGAGAAGCACAATTTGCCATATATAGTATATATGCAAAGAAATTGTTACTGAACTTAACTGCAAACACATTTGCCAATTTGTCCAGTTCTTGCCCCATCATAACCACTAAATCATATTTTTGGTTATTTCATGGAAGCCACTGTAATATGTTTCTTTCCTTATTAATATAAATAAAATGAAATAGTTTAAAAAAAAAAGGATAAGAATTATTTGTTTACACTGCAAAGGAAGAATGATTTTATATTCTGTAAAAAACTGGCTTATACAGTAAAAGCTCAACTAACTATTCAAGTAACCGCAGTATTTTAGAAACTCTTTTCTCCTAGAAATCTCTCATTAAGCAAATGAGAGATTTGTAAAGCCATTATAAAGCATGTACAGTGGGATTTAGTCCCAATAATAGATAAGTGTGGCATCACAACACAATCATAAGATCTTCACCTAGATTTTATGTACACTGAAAAATTCTTGGTAAGACAGTTTAATTGTTGTAAAGAAGGATATAAGTTAACAGCAGTTCAATTTTTTTTTTTTTTTGCCCCTTTCCATTTTCAGAAGATGATTAAAATCTGAGACCTGCCTTCTACAGAATAGCATGCAGTAGAATATTTGCAAACTTATTGGTTCCTGGCATCAAGAAAAATAATACTATGTATGATATATTATGTACTGTGAAAGTAATGAATACTATGTATGACTTGATTCAAAAACATAGATGCAATGATGATGCAACATGTAAAATTATGATAAGTGATTTTACATTTTCTGTGTGCTATACCAATAACTTGTACCTCATCAATATATAAATATATTAAGAAGTATCTGCTCTTATAAACTTTTATTAGAATGATTGGTGCAAGTTTGGCAACATGCTGCAGAAATTTTCAAATTAAGTAACAGAAGAAAAATTGAAAAGTCTCAAAAGGTAGCACATAATGTCAGTAATCACGTAATTTTAGTGACATAATTTCATATGTTCACATGACTTTTAACTTCACTGTAAATTTCATTCCCTAAGTTATTGATTGCAATTCGATTGTTGGTCCTTTTAACTGTATATATTAGTTTCATCCAACATTTTAAAAGAATATTGCTAATTACCCATTGTTTAAGCATTCACTTTTTTTCTTTAATCAATTTTCAGTTAATTTAGGTTTTTATTTTTAAATTAGTTTGTCCATATCCATTGTTAAATGCTTCCTCATGTTTGGATTGTTAGTGCTTTAGTACTAATTTTTTTTTCAGTTGGAAGTTCACTTCTCTAATTAATTATTTTTTGCTTTATTTTAACCGTTTGAGTCCGGCGAAGCGCTATCACACTTCACTTGTCATATGCCAAAAATACGGTGCAGCGCAATAGCGCTTCTTTTGTTTTGTATCGAGAATGCGAAGATGCTGCTGCTGGTTAGTATACTTTACGCAATTATTGAGAGCAGTTGTTTTATAGGAATTGGAAATTGTTTTATTTTTTTTTATCAAGTGCTATACTGATAATTGCGAAATAACCCATGTCAAGTTCTGATTCATTTGAAAGTGACTATGTTATGAGAAGTGATAATGAAGAGTACAGTAATGACCTTGAAAGTGATAGTGGACGTGACATCATCATTTGTTCTAAGAGATTACGAGTTATTAGTGATAGCAGTGATGATGATGAAGTAACTGCAAGTACCTCCGATGACGATATTATTGATGAGTTTTTACTCGTGGATACAATTTTTCTGAACGAATCGAATACTTTTTCTGAAGTACCTGGACCAAAGCATGCCCCTCCTCCTGATGCGAAAGCAATTAAATATAGCAATTATTTTTTTTTTCAATTTTCAATATTTTTTTTTTTTTTTTTTTTTTCCATTTTCAATAATTTTTTTTCCATTTTCAATAATTTTTTTTTTTTCCATTTTCAATTTTTTTTTTTTTTTTTTCAAGTATATTAACAAACAGCAGCATCTTCACATTCTCGATACAAACGTGCTGCGCCGTATTTTTGGCATACGACAAGTGAAGCGCATGCCGGACTCAAACGGTTAATTGTTAATACATTTCAGTGAATTTTCCATTCTCCCTGGTTGACTTGTTTAACTTCATCAGATTCTGATTACTAATAAAATCCCCATTCGTTCATAGTTAAATTTCTGATGATTAGTAATATTATTAATAAAAAAGAGTTTGCTTTAATTTTTAAGTCATCTCAATTGTTTAGTTCTTAGCAATATAATACTCAGGATAATTAATTTAATTTCTTTCTCTGATTGAGTACCCAATACTGCACTCAGGTCTCATGTTGGTCGTTATCACCATAGAACTGGAGGGGGGGATAAATTTTTAAATTGCCCTTTGCACAAAAGACAAACAACTCGAGTATACATTATTTTTGGTATCAATTTGTGAAACTACATATCTTCCCTACATTAGCAGAATTTTTTAACAGGGAAAAGAAAAAAAATATGTTAAATAAATATATAAAAGTTGTTCTTTGCACTTAATATAGATTTTGTAACAGAATTTAAAGAAGGAAAAAAGCATTAAGAATGATGTCTTGGAATTTTATAGATACAGTGAGATAGTTATTCTAATTATAAACAGACATTCATTTTTTAACTTTTAAAGTTTTAACTCTGCTTTGCTGAAAGAATATTTATCAGTTCTAATGTCAGGTATTGGTCCTTTCCTGGATATTTTCTGTATGATAAGCAGTACCACTCTCACGCCAGATTAGTTTCATTCTAAAATTAATCTAACATTTGAAATAAAATATGTAATAGAACAAACACTCTTTGAAACTAATAAATTTTAGGAAATTTTCATTTTCTGTGGAGGTAATGGTTTTAATGAGCTAAGTAAAATTATGTTCTCAAAAATACAGACCACTTCAGAAGCGGTTGCCTCAAAAAAGTCTACTGAAGTCATATTTCACTGTACTGTAAGATAGCGTATCCAAAGTCATTGAAAAATGAATTTTTCACACCAAATTATTATCTTGTGTTTGATCTGAATAATTAATTTTAATAACACTTTTCTTCATTTTAAAATAAACCAAGCAGTACTTGAACTCAAATAAAATATATTACACACCATATTATCATAATACAATTGTTTAATTTTTTAAACTTTAGGTGGAAAACAAATTAAATGAAAATACATATTTTTTATATTAAAGTTTTTTAAAGAAAATTTAATTTAATAACTCATCACTATCCTGTTCATTTTCTTGGTTCCTTACTCTCATTTCTTTCTTTTTATAAACATCTGAGCTATATATATATATATATATGAATTCATGGGGAGTTTACAAAGTAAACACAGAAGATTTCTTTTTCTTCTAATGACATCTTCATACAAAGTATGGAATCTAGGCATCCCAAACACATTGGATTTGAATGTTTGGTTTTGGTTGAAGCGACTGTTGATAAAAACCTTTCT